CGAAGAGGGTGCGGCTCCCTCAGCCATTAGACGTCTCGAGGCACGAGGGGTGGCTTGAAAAGTCGGGCTGCTAGGGGGCTCCTGTCGGGACGAAGAGCTTGGAGATGCAGTTAAATTTTTGGAGGAGCGACCCCTCCGTCTTTGTGCTGGTGACGACATCGTGGATATGAATTAATGTGTTGGTACCGGACGATGGTCAGGTAGGTTGGTGATGGTATGGGATATGAGTGAAGAAAGGGAGAGCAAAAAGCTGTGGGCGGAACGCGGTTTCTGCCACCATGGACGCGACTGGCGCGTTAAGTGGTTACCTCTTTGGGCCGACGTGTTTTAACTTCAGCCACATTCAGTTCCTGACCCTGTGGCTGATGGATTGCTACTATTACAGAATGCACTGCCACACCTTCAACCCATGGGCCAATCATCGCTCTTTCCCTTTTTTCTCCCCACCAAAAGCTTCAATCCTACCGTAGTAGGCATTCGCATCCAGATGTCCATTATGTATCAATGTGTCATAGAAAAAAGGAGTAAAGAGTGCGATTCCTTGTTATAAATATAGATGAAACTCTGAGGCCCTCAGTCACACAAAGCAATATTTGTTCTCCTTTCACTAGATTCTATCTAGAGCCGCCGTGACTTATTTAGCTGTTTCACCTAGCGCCTGATGTCATCGTATCATCGATCGGCGCTCCCACGATCCCTCCAATCATCCCTGTCCGTCAACGTGGATATTTTTGATATCATACCGCCAGCTCAATCCTCGCGCCACTCACCTCATTCACCAAGAGATTACTCAAACCTTGAAAGGCCAAGTTTGACATTATTGGCTCTCGTCCCCCACAGCGCTGATCAGTTTGGCGACATACAAAGTCTGGGATTTCTCTTTGAGATTTTTTTTCCCTCCTATCACCGAGCTCCTTACATATTCAACCCCTCCGTATACAAGCGATTACTTCCAACATCTATCGGTGCCTACAACGAGATCTCGGGATGCTTATTGCTGTGACAGCTTCTTCGATACCCCTTTTGGCGTGCTAGCTTTCCGTCTCCCTCGGCAATACCCGAGCTGATCGTCATGACCTCGGGCTTGGAGGAGGCGCTGGAACATACCGGTGGCCACGGCCGAACCGCTGAAGGTGTCTCAATCTCGACCTTCCTGGCGTCGCTGGCGACCGCCATCGCCGTCTTCGTCGTTGAATTTCTCCTCTTTCTGTTACTAAAGGGTAAACTGAGTCGTATATAGTAAGTCTCCTGAAACCCCACCGGGCAAGAGAACGTGGACGTTGGACTGACCGAAATTGATACTCAGTCAACCGCGAACCTATTTGGTACCAGATAGAGAACGCACAGCCCCATCACCGCCAGGCCTGTTCCGTTGGATTGTTCCAGTCTTTCGTACGTCCAGCTCGGAATTCATCCAGAAATGTGGGCTAGATGCATACTTCTTCCTGCGCTATCTGCGCATGCTTCTGAAGATCTTCCTTCCCCTGGGCCTCGTGATCTTACCGGTTCTGCTCCCAGTCAACCGTGTTGGTGGCAAGGGTCAGACATACGAACATGGTAACTCGGGCAATAAGTATACTGTCACTGGTCTGGATCAGTTAGCATGGGGTAACGTAACCCCCGAGCACACGAGTCGGTATTGGGCTCATTTGGTAATGGCCGTGATTGCAATTATCTACGTCTGTGCTGTCTTTTTCGATGAGCTTCGGAATTACATTCGCCTGCGACAGGCCTACTTGACGTCTCCCCAGCATCGACTTCGTGCTTCTGCTACCACCGTGCTCGTTACTTCTATCCCACCTGATTGGCTCAACATGGATGCTCTTGATAGGCTTTTCGATGTTTTCCCTGGAGGCGTGCGAAACATCTGGCTCAACCGCAACTTCGACGACTTGAACGAGAAAGTGAAAGCACGAAACGATCTTGCTCTCAAGCTTGAGAGTGCCGAGACGGATCTGATTGCAAAGTGCAAAAAGGCACAGCTCAAAAGGGCCAAGGCCGAGGCAAAGAAGGCCGGCAAGAGTCAATCAAGCGCAGAGAAACAAGAGCAAAAGGCGGCCGAGAAACGGGCGTCCCAAATGGCTATGGGTCCTGGCGTCAGCTCTGGTAATCCTCACCAGGCCCACACGGTACAAGAGATGCTCCATGGACAACCCCAAGAGAAACGGTCGGAGGACGGACCTCGACGAGTGTTTGACCCTGCCTTTGCCGCTGCTGGGGCGGTTGGGCAAGGGGTTGGGAAACTGGGAAAGACAGTGCTTGGAGGTTTCAAGAAGGTTGAGCAGGGCTTCGAGAAGCCCTTGACCCGAACCGGGGGCTTCGTTGCAACTACGGACGACATTCTGACGCCTCGTTCAAATCCCCCCCCAGGCCCCGATCAATCTGCAACTATAGGCATCCCTCCTCGTGCAAACACCTCTCCAGTCCCTGATCCTCTGGCCTCTGACAGCCAGTCCGCTACAAAGCCCGCCAGACCTGTAGGGCTGAGGCAAAGCCACCACTCAAGTTTCAATTTAGGTCAGAGCATAGGACCGGATTCGGCCCAGCATGCGGACCAGGATGACAGCATGTCTCGTGACCCAACGACTTCGCCGAAGCCACCGTTCTGGAGACGAACGTCCTCTCACACAAAATCACAGCGTGTGCGTGAGGCTGACGAATATCCACTGACTGCACCTGAAACGCCTGCAACTGATGCACCCCATCGTGACTTCAAGAAACCCGACAAAAACGAAAAGCACGAACATGGTCGGAAGGAGGGGGACAAAATGGAAGGGGAAGAATACCCCATCGCCTACAATGAAAATTTCGAAAATGAAGACTATGGAGAGCCGCTCTGGAAAGAATACATCCGGCCAAAGGACCGAGATACCATGCGTCTACCCATATTCGGTTGGAGTTGGATGCCTTCGATTTGGCTTTTAGGCAAAAAGGTTGACACCATTGACTATTGTCGAAAGGAGGTCGCTCGTCTGAATCTGGAGATCGAGGTCGACCAACAGCACCCTGAGCGGTTTCCTTTGATGAACTCGGCCTTCATCCAGTTCAATCACCAAGTTGCTGCCCACATGGCCTGTCAATCTGTCAGTCACCACCTCCCGAAGCAAATGGCACCCCGAGTCGTGGAGATCTCTCCTGACGATGTCATCTGGGATAACATGTCGATCAAATGGTGGGAAAGATACCTGCGTTCCTTCGGCATCATCACACTAGTTAGTGCAATGGTCGTTGGGTGGGCCTTCCCCGTCGCATTCACCGGGTTACTGTCGCAGTTGGCATATCTGGAGGGTGCATTCCCATGGCTTGCCTGGCTTGGCAAGTTACCAGACTGGCTCATTTCAGCCGTCCAGGGTATTCTTCCTGCGCTGTGTTTAGCTATTCTGATGGCACTGCTCCCTCTCATTCTTCGCTTCTTGAGCCGCACACAAGGCCTTTTCACTGGCATGTCGATCGAGCTCACTGTCCAGAACTACTACTTTGCCTTCCTGTTTGTGCAGCTGTTCTTGGTCGTCACTATCGCTTCTAGTTTCTCGACAATCATTGAGAACGTTACTGATGTGGCCAGCTGGCCGCAGCTCTTAGCAGTGAACATCCCGAAGTCTAGTAACTACTTCTTCTCTTACATGATTCTACAAGCCATGTCTGTGAGCGCTGGCGCTCTTGTACAAATCTTTGGCTTAGTGAGCTGGTTCATTTTAGCTCCAATTCTGGACTCTACTGCCCGCAAGAAGTGGGCACGAACCACAAACCTCAATCAGATGCAATGGGGCACATTCTTCCCTGTCTATACCACCCTAGCCTCTATTGGTAAGTCGTCTCGGCATTCTGTTGGATTCGTTGACTAACATTCTCCAAGGTTTGATCTACTGTGTGATCGCACCTCTGATTTTGGTTTTCAACATCATCACATTCGGCCTGTTCTGGTTCGTCTATCGCTATAACACACTCTATGTCACCAAGTTTCGCTTTGACACCGGCGGCCTTCTGTTCCCTCGAGCTATTAATCAGCTATTCACTGGCATCTACGTTATGGAAGTCTGTCTGATCGGCTTGTTCTTCTTGGTTCGGAACGCAGATGACGATGTCGCTTGTAAGGGACAGGCTGTTTGCATGATCGTCGTTCTAATCCTGACGGTCGGGTACCAAATTCTTCTCAACGAAGCGTTCAGTCCACTGATCCGGTATCTGCCCATAACGTTGGAAGACGAAGCTATTCGACGTGATGATGAGTTCCGTCGTGCTCAGCACGCTCGTCTCGGTCTCGCTCTTGACGATGACGAGGACGAGGATGAGGATGGTGATATTGAACGCACCCTCGCTAAGCGTGAACACCAAGAGCGCCAACACGGAAAGGAGATACGAGAAGACATCGAGCTGAAACCTCTGGAGACCAATCTTTCAGACCAGAAACGACAGAATCGGGATCTCTTGTCAACACCCAAGCTTGGACACAAACGTCCATCATGGGCCTCCAAATCATCAAACCGGAAATCTAAGTATTTCGGTCAGAACTCTTCGAACTCCACGCCGACACTACGGAACATGCGGGAGAAGATGGCCCAAGACACGGAGGCCCAGGGACCAGGCCCCAACACAGTTGGCCAAGCCCTCTTCGCTGGTATCCATGACGAACTAGAGGATCTTACGCCCGATGAGCGTGACCAGCTGGTGCAACGTGCCTTCCAGCACGAGGCCCTCCGCGCCAAGCGGCCTGTCATCTGGATTCCGCGTGATGATCTGGGCGTAAGCGATGACGAAGTGTACCGAACACAGCGATTCAGCAAACATGTCTGGATCAGTAATGAGTACCAGGCGCTAGACGGCAAGTGTCGGACAATCTTCAGTCGCAGTCCTCCAGATTTCTCGGAGGTGGATTTGATTCAGTTGTGATATCATTTGTACATTCTATAGCATTTTCAAGCGTCGCATTCAGTCATAGACATCCAATGTCCTTTTTTTCCCAACATGTCCCGTTTCCATGCAATCATCCAATATCTCCCTTAATCCATGAACTTGCACAGGGGCAATCTATAATCATCGACAACCCAGTAAGCCCGGCGCACACCCTCCCATTCACCTTCCAACTTGGGCACAGCAATCTCTTCCCACTGGACATCAAACCCAGCCTCGAAGAGATCCATCTCCGCCACCTTCTGGTAGACATCATATGAGATCTGGCGATCAGCACCCATGCCGTTAAAGAATCCCCAACGCCCCTCCTGCTCCAACAGCCCAATAACCTGCTCAGAGAAGAAGTCCCGGAAATCACCATATGACTCCGCAAAGGTATCGTAGTAAATAGCATCGAACGTCTCCCCCGCCGCCACAAGGCCAGGAAGAATATCCTGCCAGCGACCCTGGTGGATGACAACACCGGGCTTAGTATCCCACCCGCGTCGCTTCATCTCTGCAACGACCTCCTCGTGCGCTTCGACAATGTGGTGCACCGCCGGCCCTTGCTCCTGGAAGAATTCGTCCACAATGCCCATCCCGTGGCCGATGTTCAGAACTTTCAGTCCGGGTGTCGGGAGCAGTGCGGTCGCGGACTTGCGCATGATGTCGCTTTCCCAGCGCATCATCACCCCGTTCTGGTCTGCGTCTAGGATCCGGTCGTTCTGGATGTTCAGGCGCGACTCCAGATACTGCGAGTTGGACACTTCGGGATTGGCAGGGGTGGTTGTGGTTGTGGGCTGGGCGGATGCATCGACGAGTTCCGGTGCTGTCTCGGCCTCGGCCTCAGCCTCACCTTCCTCCTCCTCGTCGCCATCGTGATCGGCGAGCTCTTCGTACGCGTCGAGGCGGTTCAGTAGCAACTCTGCGCGGACACCTGCGTCGACGATCAACTCGTACAGCTCGAGAGCGCCGATTCGGCGCGCGATACAGCCAGGTGTCTCGTTGTTCGCGTCCAGATCGTTCCAGATAGCGCCCTCCTGCAGGAGGAACTTGACTGTCTCCACTGCCGATTTCACGGTCTCAGCGTCCAGACCATTGGTGTTCGAGTCTGAGGTGGACGCGCCATTGGTGTCAACAGTCTCCGTATCGGGCTCGCAGGCGGCGATTGCAGCGTGCAGAGGTGAGAATCCGGACTCGGTATCTTTGACATTTGCGGCGTCAGGCAGCATAGACTGGGTGCGAAGGAGGCGACGGAGCTTAGACTGGTCGTGCTGCGATGCAGCCAGGAGAATCTCTTGCACGTCAAGGTCGACGTCGACCTCGGTGAGGTGCACTGGGGTATCGTCGGTGACTTCGGGCATGGTCTGGGTGCTGTTAGTGGGGGTTCGCGTAGAGTTATTTCCCGAAAAGAAGAAAGAGAGAAAAATGGGACTAGCTCGTCTTTCCAACTAATACCCACGAATTAAATGTGATCCTTGCTAGTCAATGCTAGTCAAGTGTGTTGAACTGTTATCAGACTGAAAATAGTGCCCCTCCGAATTAGAAAAATCATCTCGCCGCCTTTGTCCCCGCATGGAGAAAAATATATATCAGCCTTAGTTCTACACCCACCACCTACAAAGAATTACCATGTTTGAAGCAGCCTTGGGAAAAAAGAGAAGAGACCACATTCAGATGCTTGGCAATCCAGCTATTTGTACAATAATTCACATCTCTCCACGCAGCGCCATTAAGTATCAAGCGGAATGAAATTATTTGCCCTCTTCGCTGTGGGCGTTGACATTCAGGCCCAATCCTTGGCTATCCAGGTAGAGCTTGTTCTTGCCACCGCTCTCGTGCAGGATCTGAGCAATGTGACGGGCATTTTCAATCTTCCGGAGCTCGATGTAACTCTTGCTCTTCTTGATGGCGTCACCAATAAGCTCGGCGGAGCGGGCCTCACCCTGTGCACGGACAATGAATGCCTGCTTCTCTTGGCGGGCCTTGTCGACCATGAATGCAGCACGCTGAGCATCTTGCTGTGCGACCTGCTTGGCCTCAACCGCGGCTGTGAATTCGGGGGAGAAGGTCAAATGCTATGTGGAGATACCGTTAGAAGCTGTTCGGGCCAGCGGGCGGGGGAGATACGTACTGTCAAGGAGACATCGTCCAGAGCAATGTTGAAACGGGCAGCTCGGCGAGCCAGGTTGTCCCGCACCAGACGGGCCACGTTCTCACGCTGTGTGATCAACTGGCTGGCGTTGAACTGAGCAACAACGCTCTTCAGCACTTCGTTGACGATGGAAGGCAGAACCCGCTCATCGAAATCTTGGCCCAGAGTTCGGTAAATCTGGGGCAGAGCATCCACACGGGGTCTAGATAGGACACGGCAGGTGATGTTCACCATTTGCAGGTCCTTAGTACCTGTGAGAGAAGGAATGTTGCGAGGTTTGGCACGGACATCGTAGATGATTGGCGTTTCAAACCAAGGAATTTGGAAGTGAGTCCCTGAAGTCATGCAGGCGTGAGAAAGAGCTCCTTTGTCTGGCTAGTGTGTTTTCATACCTTCGTTGTAGATTTCCTTCTGGACACCACCTAAGCGCGAGTACTTGATGGCACGGTGACCACCGTCAACTAAAAACTAGTTAGAAGCTTGGTTCCTTGAGCAGATGAGTATAACACACCATTGAACAGAGCATTTGACGCGACGTAGGTGCCAATACCGGCGAGAACGAGAGTTCCGACAAGTCCCATGCCTCCTCGGCCACCACCGGATGGGAAGCCGCCGCCGAAGCCGGCCTTACGCTTCGACAGCATAACTTGCAGGCGCTCCCAAGCCTCTCGTTGATTTTGAGACATGATGTGAGGAAGTGCGCGGAAAGGTTTCGAGATGGATGAAGACTAACTTGGTATGATGCTCGAGCGGATGAGGTGAGGTTGTGGGCGGTGGGAGAAAGTCGGGCAGAATCAGCGTTTCTTTTGCTTGCCTCGACTTCTTTGCCTTTCTCACTCCCATCTCGTTTCCTATCGCAATCATGGCGCCCGATCGGACTGGGAAGAGTGTATTCCTGGGGAATATCCCCTACAGTATGTAATCGCAGCTGCATATCTAACCTGCGCGATACTGATCTTTCTCTAGACCTCACCGAGGAACAAGTCAAAGACATCCTCAGCACGGCTGGTACCGTTACCAAGTTCCGATTGATGATGAACCCCGAGACCGGCAAGCCCAAAGGTTATGGATTCGCAGATTTTGCGGACGCTGACGCCGCCGCCTCGGCGGTGCGCAACCTCAACGATCACGAAGTCATGGGCCGCAAGATCCGTGTTGATTGGCCTCACAACAACGAGAAGGATTCCGTACCCCCAGATTACTCGCAGCAGTCGCAACCAATGATGAATCAAGATCCAATACAGCAGCAACAAATTGCAGGCTCAGCGCCGCTCCCTCCTCTTCCCCCAGGCGTGGAACTTCCCCCTCAAATCGACTGCCCTAACGCTATCTCCCATACTCTCGCATCCCTCCCACCAAATCAATTGCTCGATGTCTTGACACAAATGAAGTCTCTCGCGGTTGCCGACCCGGCACGTGCTACTGAGCTGCTGCGCCAAGCGCCTCAGCTCGCCTATGCCGTCTTCCAGGCTCTGCTGCTCATGAATCTGGTCGAATACCAGCTGCTTGGTTCCATCGTCGAACAGGCCGCCCAGCCTCCTCAAGTTGTTCCACAGCCAACTCCTCAACAATTCCAACCATACGGTGTTCCTGGTCAGATCGCTACGCCGCCTGTCACCGCCACTCCTTTCGCCCCTCCCCCGGTTCAACCTGCCGCCCCGATTCATGGCCAGGAGGAGCTCCTTCAGCAAGTCCTCAGCATGCCCCAGGCTACTATCGACGCTTTGCCCCCCATGGAAAGAAGCCAGATCATGCTGTTGCGCCAGCAGTTGATGCAGGGTGGCATGCGGTAGAGTACTTCCCTCTCTTGATACTGCATATGGCTTCGGATATTTTTGTGGCTCTGCTCGTTGAGAGCAAGCCTGGCATGGCCAATATTTTTTTATTTCTTTTCCCTTTTCTTATGCCACTGTACTAGGCGAATGGGTGGCGCAAGGGGGTTGTCATTTTTTTCCCATCGATTTGCATACTGGGTAAATCTCAAGCTCTACCTTCAGAATAGTAACAGAATGATATCTCGATTCTCTCAGTCCTTTATTCCTACAATCAATGTCTATCGCGTTGTCCCTTCGGAGTCTTTATTTAAAAGGCAACATGCTTCAACCCGTGGACATATTTGGCGCGTTTGTCATTGCCGGAACCTTTCAAGGTTACTCCACCGTCCGTGAGCTTGACAAGCTGCACGGCAATACATGGAATTGCTACTAGCACCTAGACACTCTTCCCCATGGCTGGCAGCTTCTCACAATGGTGTTACGGCAAATTCTACATACGATCTCCAATGTTCAGTGGAACTGCCAACCCATCGATTACCGGGCGCCAATCCCATTCAAGACTGGCATAATTCGTAGTCTCAATTGCAACTTCTAAGGCCGCAGAGAAGGTATTGATATCAATGATTGGTCGTAATAAACGCTTAAGCTCACTGACACACCGTGTCAATATCATTCGCCATAATACCTGCATTACCTATAGTCTATACGATAGGCATAGTCTGCGTCTTAAGGTAGATCAATCACTAGACAAGCAATAGGAAACTAGCATATCCTGTCTATCAATCTGCATCGATCATAGCCACTGAGATAGACACTGGCTTCTGTTTTGAACCCTATAATGTCCGTTAATAGCCCATTTAGACCGTTCTTATTATATTGTCGTGAGAAGCATGTAGTTATCGGCATAGTACATCAAGTTAGCAAAGACAGCAATGTCCCACATCCTTGGCTTTTTGGTCTTTGATTGGGCCTTGACGTCCATATCCATTACCAGACCGTTTGGATTGCGGCAGGGTCTCTTGGTCAGTTCCCTGTCTGTTGATGCTCGGCTATGAACAGATCAATGATGAACAGTGCGCAAAGATAACCTCACGTAAGTACTGACACCGGAGTACTGCCCAGCCGTGGAATGGGTGTATTCGTCGGCGCCAGAATCTCTCTCAGCAGAGGTATGCGCGGCCTCGCGTGCTGGGACCTAATAGTTGAGGGTCACTGGAGCATATGTAGCTTGATTGTCGTTGTGTAGTAGTACATCTCAGCCTAGCTTTGAGTCCGGGTCGCCGTCACATGTCGTCTCGCCGAAACGGGCGAGTGCTACTGGGGTGCTCGGTGTAGTTTGCGGGCATAGCTCGTCGTCGCGCGCAAGCGCCTACCGATCCAGGCGGGAGAAACCAGATTGTAGCCTGGGCGTCGCGCATAACTGAGTTTTTCTGTCTATTTTCTTCTCTTCTTCTTCTTCTCTCCAACCTTTACAAACAATCACGGCTCAATCCATTCTTTCGCATGTTCGCTGCTTTGCTTCGTGCCTTTCAGCGTGTTTCTTCTTGTTTGGCTTGCCAGTATCATCTAAAATTCCGACTACCTCAACTCGCCCTCTCCTCCAGCGCAGGTCATGGCGTCAAAGGGGGTCCCTCAGCAGCAGTCGGCGGATGGTTTGGCAATGGATTATCAGGAGCCTAGGGCCCGGGCCGATGAGATTCCTGAGCTGCGGCGGGGATGCATGATCCCTCGGGGTCGCTATCTAGCCAGTGACCTCCCACCTCTGCATACGCTGACAGAAATTTTCGCTGACATGGCATCAAAAGCCCTGAAAATAGGATTCGAGCATGTCCTCATTCGGCTCGGCAGTCGACCACTTCGAGTGGCGACAATGTGCTCAGGGACGGAAGCCCCGCTTCTGGCCCTGGAATTGATCCAGACGGGTAAGTGCTGTATCTTATTTTTTGCTTTTTCTTTTCCGTCACCTCGGTCGTTTGTTCGTTGTCGTCGATGTTCATGTTGCTTGTGGTCGGTTCCGTGGTTGAAGTTCCTCACCTTGCGACTTTCCCAAGTCACATGTTTCCTTCCTTGCCCTAACTTTACCCTGGCTTCCATGGCTTCACCCTGCTATTGATATATCATTATTTTGCTTTCATATCGCTCTCACCTTTCTGTCTGATATATCTGTCTTTTGCTTGGTTCTTCCTTGGAAGATGACCGTGGAGCAATTGCTAATATTACCTTGGCAGGTTTGGCAGAGGCCCAGCGACTTCGGATCTCGCACGCTTTCAGCTGCGAGATTGTTCCGTTCAAGCAATCATATATTGAACGGAACTTCCGCCCCCCTCTCCTCTTTCGGGACATTACCGAACTTGGAGGGGACGAGGCGTAAGTACCCATTCATACCCATTCACCTTCCTCTGACTTGACTCTAATACTGACTTTGATTTTGAAGGCGGACCGCCTACGGGTCATCGGAAGGGATTCCCGGTGACCTCGACATCTTAGTCGCTGGAACTGCCTGTGTCGATTTCTCTCCGTTGAACAACCGCAAGAAGACGCTGCAGCAAGGCGGCGAGTCGGGAGCTACGTTCGACGGTCTCTTGCGGTACGCAGAGAGATATCGACCCCGCATGGTCGTCCAGGAGAATGTCCGGAATGCGCCCTGGGATCAAATGAAGGGAAAGTGGGAGGAGCTCGGATACATGTCGGTCTGTGTCAATGTTGATACGAAGCATTATTACATCCCGCAGACACGCGAGCGCGGGTACATGGTGGTTATTGACAAGCGCCGCTTGGAAGCAGCGGGCCTGCTTGGAGACTCCATGGACCAGAGTGGCATTGACACTGTCACTCAACGCGTTCGTGAGCTGGCTGGTCGTTTCAAGCGGCCAGCCAGTGCGCCGGTGGGGTTGTTCTTGCTGAGTGACGACGACCGCCGACTCGAGCTCATCGAGTTGAGAGCCCGCCTTGAGTCCCGAAGCGAAACCAGCTGGGACCAGTACCAGATTCGTCACCAACGGCACCGTGACGAACTGGAACTAGGCATCGAGAGGCCAATCACTAGATCCCTGCCCGGAATCAATGACCTGAAGGCACCGGACTTCTATTGGCATCGTTTCTGGAAGACGCAGCCGGAGAGAGTGTGGGAGACCGTGGATATGAATTTCTTGAAGAAGATGCTTCAAGATTATGACATGAACTTCAAGGAGTGAGTTTTCTCAATCTTGTCTCACTTTCACTTCACTTTCCCTTCAGGGATATTTTACTAACAGTTCACTTCACAGGCGTTGGATCGACTTGTCTCAGGGAGTCGATCGAGGGAATGACAGCCTTGCCGGGTCTGGGATCGCAGGGTGCCTGACGCCGAAGGGCATCCCATTTGTGACCACCCGCGGGGGCCCCGTTTCTGGCACGGAGGCTCTTTCGTTGCAAGGTCTGCCTCTCGATCGAATGCTACTCACGAGAGAAACCCAAGCCGATTTGATGGACATGGCAGGAAATGCAATGACGAGTACGGTCGTGTGTGCAATCATGCTGGCTGGTCTGATAGCCGTGCATGAGATTCTTGACGACGACGAGGAGGGTTCAACCAACTCCAGCGACGCGGAGGCCAAGTCCCTTCTCGTACCCAGCGAGGCCCACAGCCTAGTGAGAAGCAACCTCCAAACCGCCGAAGCCCCTCTCGTCGACCATGCTGTTCTCAAAGCCAAGGCGGCGAGGAGCGTTCTGTGCTGCTCCTGCGAGAGACAGACTGGGGTTCAAGATTCAATTTATAGTTGCACACTGTGCGGGCATACCGCTTGCAGATCCTGTCGTGGAAATCCCACGCATTCGTATCTACATGTTTCGCCACTTTCTCGACAAAAGCCGTCAGAGTTTATAGCGAATATGAAGGGACTTGTTCCCATGAAGCTCATGCTGTCTGGCTT